TTATAAATATATATATATATAAATAAATAAATAAATAGCGGAAGAAGGGGTTACTATCCAGTTTCTACATTGAATCTGGTATTTGTTTTCTTAGCAGGTTCAGTTAGATCCTTAATTTAAAACAGTTACTGTGTAGGGCGTCCCTCTTCAGATCCACTTATCACATTATGATAAGCTTATTTTAACCCCTCTTCTGTTGTGTGAATATCAATATTTAGATGCGTTTTTTAAAATAGCCAGTAGTATAGATGATCTAGTTTTGCAAAATGGTATTTTCTTTTGCTGTATAAAGCCCTAGAATTTCAGTTTGACTTTTTGTTTTGAATGTATTAAGAACTAGATGGGGATGAGAGAGGTCTTTTTTGTTTTGTTTTGTTTTTCATTCCAAGGTGTGGGAGGGGGTTTGTGTTTTATTAGGGTGGGGGTGGAGAGAGTGCATATTATTTTGCACAGTATGAAAGTATTTCAGTTCCTTGAATTTTTTTGTTTCTGACAAAGACCTGTCTTACACACTCACAAATACAGTTGTCTGTTTCTACTTAATGACCTGGGCCAAAGTGCGTTTCTGAATTTTAATATCACTTCTCAAGTTAGTCTTGTCCGCAAATGGCTTTTTGGAAACCTAGGGTATGAACAACTAAAGTCAAAAAGCCTGTGCCCTTTGTAATGTGGGTCAGCTATAGTTTTCAGCCAGTGCTGTAGAAGGAGGAAGGAAGAAGCAATAAGGTTGCTTATTGAAAGCAATGTCAAAACTATTTTAGAAAGTGCCAATATTAGTATAGCAGCATTTAAAATTTGAATGTCAGTAGAAAGGATAATGGGAATTATTTTGAAGGCGAGAAGATGAATTGAAAATCACAACTTGTACATGTTGCATCTTGCAGACTTTTACCTGCTCTGTCAAATTGTATCAGCATAAGTTTGGACTTTCTCTTTCCACTTAAAAAATAAATAAATAAATAAATAAACAGGCCAGATTTTTTTAGGGACAGAGTGTAAAAAGTTTGATCAAAAACTCAGCATGGTTCTTAAAATGGTTTTGACCTTGTTTTTAATCTATTGTTCTCGGGATGTGCAGGTAATCTGAAGATATTTATTGCATATGCTGTTTCTGAAAAGTTTGGCTAAAAATGCAGCAAGAAAAGAGTCAAGTGGTGTACATGGATGGATGCCAGATGGCTACTCAGTCTGTATGTTGTATTCGGTTGACTGTGCACTCTACCTGGCCAGTTAAAACTATCTTTACAAAAGATATTTAGATTTGGAACAAATCTTTCCAGATAATTTCCATTTCTCCTCCTTACCTGCCCTTTCCCCTTCTAGCCTCTTCCTATTGTATACATAAGTCTATTGTTAAACCTATAGCATTGTGACTTAACCTTTTTAAGTTGCTTGATTGTGAAAGACGAACGTTTTAGGCAAAGAACAAACTCTTCGGTTTATTTTTACTACTGTCGTGTTTGGAATTCCTGCCAACAGAAGGGCTATTAGTTTCTCATAGAGCTGCCCAGTGCAGTGCAGGTTGCTGACTCATTCATACAGGCCTGGAAAGAGGTAATCCCCCTCCCCATCCTCTAGGTGAGGCATGATTGTTCTTAAAGCTCCCTCTCCAAGCAAGAGACAATATACAATTTGACAATATCCCATGCAAATTGATCTCCTATAGGTGGTACATACTGCATTTCACCCGGTATTCCATTCACCCAACCCTGCATTGCTTTACTGCAGATTGCCGCATGAGCTGGTTTGACATTGCTCACACGCTGCTTGCTTCCCCCCTCTCCTGGGGAGAGGGTTAGAGCAGCGTTGGTTCTTGCAAGCCATATAACTTTTTTCTTTAAGACGTTGCAACGATGAGATTTTATAATACAGTAATAATGAAAATGACTAACTATTGTACTTAGATTTTAGCAACTTGTGAAATAAACCCCTGACTTTCATTTGAACCAGTGTTGAAATTTGGGAGCTGTGTGGTTTTTTAATTTTATTTTTTTATAACCTAATTTATTATTGTTTGATTTTGGGCGTGGAATAGGTTACTGTTCTCTGTCCAGAAACGTGAAAAGTGGCCTGGTTGAACCTTTTATTTTTATAGCGTAGAAGATTTTGACAGCTTTCCAGACAAAATGTAAAGTTTGACTTGCTAACTTTTTTTGTATTTTAGGGATTCCTGTAAGTGGCATTCCAGCTGTAATACTGAGGAAGATTCTTTTTGGTTAATCTTAAATTCTGGGTAGCATTGTTTTGTTTTCTGTAGATATTTTGATCATTGTTTTAGGAACCATTCAGTTACCTCTGAATTATCAAATTAGTTACCAAATTTCACTTACTTTAAAAAAAAAAAAAAAAAAGGATTTACCAAAGTACAGCTAAAAAAAAATGAAAACGGGGGCCTCATATTTCAGAGCACAGTAGAAGGGAGACAGCTTGTACAGTGGTCTCATCAGAAACCGTATTTGGCTCATATGTCACTTTCTCCTTTTGTAAGGAGGGGACACAGTTGTCATTTTTTTTTTTAGAAAATATATAAATATATATATCTATATATAATGCAAAAAGACCTCAAGGAACCGCATTAGTGTTTGTCTGCTTAAGGCAGAGTTATGCTGTATATTGCATTTAGCGAAATAACTTGCATTGTGCTTTTTTTAAAAAAAAATTTATAATCATTAACAAAGAAACTGTAACAGAGTAACGTTACGCAAGCGCAGGGTATGTTTTTTGTCACTAGTATTTATTGTGACTCTAAATCTTTGATAATAAAACAGAAATTTAAAAAAAGTTCCCACTAAAGCCTGATAGTCAATTTCAATGGAAGAACCTGAAATCAATAACTGTATATTGTATTGTGAGGGATTTTTAGTATTTGAATGACAATAAACAAATGGACAAACTGCTTTCTGCTTTTCTCTTCTTTTTTAAGCTTGGTCTTCAATTTGTGCTTTGTAAATTCTTGAGACAGGTTTTTCCAAGGGAAGTGTTTACACATGACTGATCAAAGTCCATAGGAGTTGTGTGTGCCTTTTGAGAGCAGACTTTGGGCTTAAATGTTTTGGAACGGTCTTGTTCATGATGCTACCTCATGCCAGTCCTCCCAGTGCATAGCACTCTTATTTGAAGTTTATAAAAATGTTTGTAGGGCTTGCTCGCATTTTTTTTAACTATGTGTAGAAAATGAGGCTGGCTTTCAAAATCTTGAAGTACACAATTGCTAAGGGTGTGCCTTGGAAGATGGTTGTTAGGAAAGACTTCTGTATTTGAGCTGGGTGTTTTATTTATTTTTTCCTATACCCAAAAATATTACTACTGAAATGGGGAGGGAGAAAAATCCACACAGATTTCATAACAGGAAACTCAAAGCACATGTAGAAATGCAAGTTATCAAAGTTAAACACCTCTCTAGTCCACTCTGTGAATCACTGTTTTGGGTGTCTATACTACTTTTCCCTGCCTTCTCCATGCCTTACCTGCTGAATCTTGATGAAACCAAACTGTGTGCTAAATCAATAGACAGGTGGGCTGGATAGCATTACAGCCGGGCTCATAAAAGTGGTCAGAATTTCTACTTCAGCTGTCCTGTCCTCCATAAATTCCTCCCTAGCTAGGCTCTTCTCTCCAGTGGCTACTGGCTCCACCCATTCTCCTTGTCCTCTTGGCTTCTAGACAGCTCTGACATTCTTGATGTTTCCAAAGACAAACAACACTAATCTACAAGTTCATTACTTCCCTTTTTAACCTCTTGGACTAGTTTAAAATTTTGTATTCACAATGGAAATTCCTCCCTACTACTTCTAGTCCTAAAACTTCTCCAATTACATGCTATGTTCATTTTAAATTTGTTTCTGAGGTTTTTAAAAATAGGAAAAATAGATAAAATGTGAAAATCCCAGTTTCCCCAGGATGGGGGAACCCTTTTAGAAGCTTGAATGAGAACTTTAACTCTAGATCTTGAACCTGATTCTTCAATCCCACTGAGCTCAATTCAGCTACAAAATGGGGTTGTGAAAGGTAGGCAAATAGCATCTTCATTCTCTCTCCCCCCCCCCCCCCCCCCCCCGCTCCGCGGGGGGGCGGCCT